AGGGCCTCTTAGAAACAATAATCAAACCTCTTTCTTAGATATATCTAAGATATTAAACATTTAGATTCTTGAAATCAGACCATCTTCATCATAGTCTTCAGGGGAAAATCCCAACTGGGAAGAAGTGTTATTAGTGAAACGCAGTCTTCCTCCTAAATAAATATGTTCTCGTTACTTTGACCCCCTAATTGAAGCGCGATGTGTTAGCCTAACACTTTTAAACTAATCAAAATAACCTGCCGTCTCCTTGATGGTGGGCTTTGTTCATGTGGTATTGCAATAACAATGTGAATGATTTTACAGATTTTTATTCCACTTCAGTGATTTATTACAAGTCCAGCGAGCTCTGACACGCACTGAAGTCAGCGGCTTACGGGTCAGAGCACAGGTTAGCCCCAAAGGCTGGTCACTGAAATGGCAAATTTGCATGTGGTTGCATTAAATAAATAAAGTTGTTCCTCATATACAGCTGATAAATATAGAAACCTTAGATAATAGGTTTTAAATAGTGGGCTGCAGTTATAAGATTCTCTTTGTTAGCTTAAAAACGAGTTTTTATATGAATACCTATTGCATAAACTTGTTATGCAGGTAAAAATACACTTTAAAAATACTTTAGCCTGTAGGCAGTGGGTTAGCTGGTGTGTCCCGTAGATCTAATCATACAAATCGTTGCTAAAATGAAATAGTGATGCAGTCTGTTGTTCTCCAGCTGCAGAACAAGGGCCTCTCCTTGCAGGGTCGTTCCTGCTCGGTGCAGATGCTTTCACCTTAGCCAGTTTGTCCAGTGGCACAGCCAGAGCAGGCTCAAGCCCTTGCTGGTGCTTAAAGATGCTGAATTCAGCTCCATGCAGAGGACCCACAGAGCTGCAGCCCTCACCAATCGCTCAGCACTGAGCTGTGTCCAGTAGGCTTCTGCCCTAATGTTTTTCTGCTTTTCAGCAGAAAACTGATTTGGGTTTTTTTTTTTCATCTGCTTTCTACATTTGAGAGCTAGTTACAATGCACGTCTCTTCCGTTAGATTTAAAATGGGAATTACCAACGGAAAACACTGTGTCCAGTGTCTGCTTTTATACAAAGTTTTCATTTATTTGTAGGAAATCTGAAATCACCTAAACTTGCATAAAAACTTGGTGTAAGGTTGTTTTCCCTGGAGCTGGGATTGTCTCTGATTTGCTCTGCACTGTGATGTTTTCAGACAGAAGGTGAGTAGCATTGAACGAGAGGACAGAAGTAAATGGATTGGAATCAGTCTTTCTCCATTTAGCATGTAGCTCCTAGGCGTATTTAATTGGGCAAAGGTGATTTGTTTCATTAAAAAAAGGCATGTTCCCCCACAGATCAAATGTTCGATCAGCTTTTTAGATAAAAGAATACCTTTTTATGTAGTGTGCTTCTATAATACCACATGTGCAGGGAGTGTGGGACAGACACATGTCTACAATCCACATTTTGGAATACCAGTGGATTTAAAATATGCTGTGGATTTTTTTTTTTTTTGCACATGTATAGTAGGCAGATGATATATCAAGTTAACATCAAGTTAATCTAGGTGAAGAAGGGTTTTTTCAATTTTTTTTTTTTCCTTAAGACGTCACATGGCAGGATTGAAACCTCACAGAGTATATCCCATGGATAATGTTTTTGTGTTGCAACATTGGCTCTATAAATAAATGTGAAGCATTGCAGTAGCAAACATCACATTTATTTTTTCTCCTGAAGCGCCTACAGCGTGTCATTACAGATGGATTGATAGTCTTGATAACATTGAACTTTTGTCAGACCTAACCTGGAAAACTTGTTACATGTCAGAAATTTTCCGTCATTTTTCTTGCTATTCAAAAGGCAAATATATTTGCAACCTTGAGTGACATTGACTGTGGAAAGCAGACAGAAATTCATCATTTGACAGAATTATTTTTGTTGTTGTTTTTTTCTTTCTTTTTTTTTTTTTTTTTTACAGTGGCAAAACTGTAATTGGATTTTTAAATTCTGACTACTCTGTTTCAGGAATATAGAACAGCTGATTGTGGCTTATAAAAGCTATATGAACTGTCTTTTTACAAATGTAAAACACATTCTTGATTTCTTCACATTCAGATAATTTATTTTTGTGCTTCTTGGACTGAGGCAACTTCTGACCTTTCTTGCTGGGTTGTACAAAACAACTTGGCAGGGTGCAGGCAATGGAGAAGGTCTTGTACAGGAGACAGTACAGTGAAGGATGCAGATGCTTACAGAGCAAATTTTCGTAACACTAAGTTTAAAACTAGTGAGGGTATGTCTTCAAATTTAAGTGCTGTGTAGTAGGGACAAAGCTGCATCAAAAAGCTTGTTTTACTGTCTTACAATAAACTGTGATTTAATTCATGAGTTATGCTCATTGTCTTTATATGAGGTCTTTGTTTTAAAGAGATATGAGGATGAAAAGTTGGGGTTTCTGAATATAGCAGAAAAAGCGGTAGTGCAAGAAGCAGCAAATAATTGGATGAACATATTTCATCAAAGGATGAAAACAAATATCAAGGCAGAGACAAGGAAATCCTGGACAGACCATTAAGAACAGAGAGAGGTGGAAGAAGAGGAGGTTATCAGTCATGTAGCACCAATGCTCTTTTGGGGGCAAAACTCCTAGGTGAGCTGCAGCATTTTGTGCTGAACAAGGAAGAAGATGATTTCTGATTGCTACTAGAAACACACTGCAATCAAAAGGAAAAACATTCTATACATTAGTATGCAATAGCACTGTACACTCTGACTGTATTATACGCTAGCGAAATCAAGAGGATAATGATTAGCTCCTTAGCTAGAAAGGTTTTCTTCCGATATTTTGGTTCAAGATACAGACACTGGTGTTAATAAATTGGGCTGTACATGGTAGACCACATCACTTAGTCAATATTTTATGCTAGCAGGTCATGTAGCATTGTAGATGCTAAACACAGTGTAGAAGAATAAAGTAGTTCTTCCCATTATTTGGTTTAAAAGCTAAAAAGAGCAGGAGGTTTATTAGTTTTCAATACTGTTAGTATAAATAGAAGTTGAAGCTGTGGAGCAGGGTTATTATGTGGCTCATTACTGTTTATTACCACAAGGCACATCAAGATGTCTGCTAGTTAGAGGGAGTAAATCATTTGGAACATGCCTGTTTTGTCGATCTTCTGCACGATGCTCAGCGCTAGCGTGCCTTCTTCCAGTGCTTTGAGGAACATGTCTGAAATCTGTCGCTTGTCATATGTTCTCTCCATCTCTTGCTGAAGAGAAGCAAACAGACGAATGTCTTATTTTGGTGCAATTTGTTTTTGCGTTTTTGAGCAGAGGGGAGCGTTTTTCATCAGAAGAGTTTGTCTGAATTGTATTCTCATGAAATCGAGGTGAGCCTTGCTGACTTCACATGAGTTAGGATTTGGTTTGTTGTGTAGCTCTGAGTTAACTTAATATGTGGTTTGTTTTTTTTTTCTGTAGCTTGCTAGTGTTTTTCAGTATCACTGAGGACAAAGAAACTGTTGTTGTGTCCGTCATTACACTTGAATTTAGAGCTGTAGAGTAATTAGATGGATTTAGTGAGTTTGTGCCTCTTCAGCTGCATTTTAGTAAATATTGGTGTTTCATGATACACTTTTCTTTTAGCTTTTTTATAGCCTGAAACCTCCATAAAAATTTCTTTTAACCTCATTGTTTTTTAGGCAGGATCAGAAATGAGCTAGTAAATTAAGCTTAAGCTCATCGGAAAACCAACAAACCTTGGTAAATTTTAGACTTTAACAGCTAAGGATTGCGGTTGAAAGACTCATCTCTCTTGCGTGAATGTGAAATTCTTTCTTTTTTTGATTTGTCTTTACAGCACTTTGTATTTCATTTAACCAGAGTCTAATTAGAATTTTTTTTAAAAAGCCATGTTCCCCTGTTGGAGATGCAAAGTGCTACCAATACGAAGTAACTACCTGCAATTTTTACAGTCATGATGATACTTATCTTCTATTGCTTAATCTTCCACCTCCTGCTCCTCTTGCTGTCTAGCCTGAATGTAATGTGGGGTCTCTACCAGTTCCAAAGGCCTCATGGATGTGAGGTCTGTCACCTGCGTCCTCATGCCAGGCTTTGAGAACATGATGTGTCCCCTAAGCCCTGGCTTTCCACTTACCAACATTCTGAGGAAATCTGCTCTGCCACCAAGCCAGCTCAAGACATTTGTCAAAACATTGACCAAAAGACACCCACAGCCCACTATTCTTAGGCTGATTTGTTGCTGCCCCTGCTTACCTCTGCGATGATGACCTATGTGGCTGGGTGACACTAACTTCAGAGAGAGCAAAGCAAGCAAGAAAGCGTCGCATTCCAGAATACATGAAATCAATGGAGGGAATACCTGCTAGCTTTATTATGTTTACTGCCCCATTTGACAAATTTTCTAGTTTGGAAATTCTTCCATACCATCTGTTGTCTCTGATTCTGTTCAACAGAGCAGTATTACTGGCCTGATGGTTTCAATCACATTTCTTCAGAAATTCTTCTGCAGGATATATAAATGGATGAGTTAAAAAGAAAATGTCTCCACTATTGATTTTTCTCTGCTATTGGCAGGTCTATTTACTTACTGATGTGGTTCTTTAATGTTCTTCATTTATGTATAAGGATCTAATTTTTCCTCTTCAAAACCAGGCAAGCACAAACTTGATCAGGTGAACAGGTCAGGTGTGCAGTTATTAGCACACACTCATCCGAAGGAAAGAAGGACCTTAATTGATTTACATCTTCCAGAGGTTTTTCATCTCTGCCATGAATTCTAGAAGCAACCTAATGCACAAACGAGCTGATGGAAATGACAGTACAAAGATAGTCCCTGATCTTGTTGCACAGAAGTGGGAAGCTGGCGAGCTGGGGATGAGCTGAAGCTGGGTGGACTCTGCAGCTTACCTTGCGCGGAAAAGAGGGAGGAAAAATCCCACCGTTGCACCTCTTGGTTGAGTTGACAGACCAAGCAACATAGCTGGGAGCCATGGCTGCAGTGGTTCCCTTCAGGGTCCTTAGCTGTACGTCTCAGTCACTCTGTCACATCAGAATCATGCACGATTGTCTTCAAACAACCAGGTAACGTGGCCAATGCCCACTCTTTACTCACCACCTAATACTTTCTCCCAACAGATGTAAATGAGTGCACCACTGAGAACGGTGGCTGTCATGACCAGTGCTGTAATACCATCGGCAGCTACTACTGCAAATGTCCAGCTGGCCAGAAACTGGGGGAAGATGGAAAATCATGCGGAGGTAATGTTTTGTGCTATGACTCATTGCTATTAAGAAATCAGAGAAGACATTGGAAAGGAAAAGGAAATGTTAGCTTTTATTTGGAGCCAGCTGAAGAGTGTATACTCAGAGTTGTCAGGAGTGCAGATCTTCTCATGTCTGGATTATGAAGATGAAACTGTAAGAACACTTCAAAGGGTTGGGTTTTTGTTTCCTTTTTGTGGAAAAAATGTTATCACTTAACCTGGATTGGCTGTGCCATGTTCTGATTATGGAATTTCCATCATCAATTTAAAAACCTGAAGAAAGCGTGTATGTTTGATAACATTCCATCTGTGTCTAAAACAAAGTGGTTCTTATCAGAAAATACACATACATTTTTGCATTTCAATCACGATTCCACAGCTAGAGATTAACCAAATAAAAAAAGGATTTAAAACCACATGCTACGTAAACCCATTTGTCGTTTTCCTGATGGTAATACAAGTCTGGTTAGAGTGTTATGGGGTAAAACTTGTTGTTATGCAAAAGCTCAACTTTGTGTACTCAAACATCACATAAGCTTAGGTTAGAACACATAATGACTTCTTAAAGATGCACTGGTAAACATTGAGTGGGTGTAAACAAGCCCACCTGATCTGTTGACCTACCATCACTACATTTTTTGCATCATCAGGTGCATCACAGGTAATGAATGCTGGCTGCCGTGTGATCTTGTGTGCACTGCCTGTGTGCCTGGATTGCACCCTTGATTGCATTTCCTTGCTGCACTAAGTATATCGTTGATTTTTTTTATTACCTCGAGATGAAAGGTGCTAGGTGGGTTTTCTTGAACTGTATTACCATCTTTTCACGAGAATCCCATCTTCTCTGACTTCTCCTGTTGCATAGTATCTCACAAATTCCTTTCTTCCAGAATTTCATTTTACTATTGTCATTTGGCATCTTAAGATTTATACAAAGCAATGAATTTCCTGGCTGTGGTCATATGCTTTATCCTAACTTTATAATTTATTTGGCTGCACTGCTTTTTTCACTAGAAGATGGTAGAATTATTTTCCACAGCAACCTATCATTTGATATCCAACTTGACAGTGTAAATAAGCTTGTAGGTGGTTATTTTATTTTGATTGAAGTCTTTCATTATGGTCCTCCATGCTTTCATTTTGGCCTTTTGAGAGCTCAAGCCAGAAATACTATGCATGATTCACAGATTCCTGCTACTTCACCTCAGCCTTCTCTTGCCTCTTTTGGGGACTGGTTAATAATATGCCCATGAACCAGTGTATAGGTCTGTATGTTGATGACTACTTACAGCTTTCAGATCTGAGTAAAACTTGTCCAAAAACTAAGTTTTTGAAAGCAGGGGTCCTACTTATTGTAATCCTAAATTCTTTAGCATGCAAGAGTCTCACTTCCTTTAAAGTAGTTTTCTGTTAATAAGTTAAATTAGTGTTTCTTCTGCAGAATTCTTCTATTCTCAAAATATGCGTTAAATTCTAGTGTTTTGACATTCTTTAAAAACTCAAACAGAGCTGAAGATATTTGACTCTTGCACTATATACCATCTAACCAGGAATTACAAAAGAATATATTATTAGCTGGTTTGAAGCTGCTTTTTGAAATCTTCAGACAAAATGGAAATGTACAATAAACTGGAACCGCTCAAGTCATAGAACAAAGTGAACATAGCAGTGACACTAATTAAACCTGAAGTTTTGTGGAGGTGATAATGATGATGAGCATATGGCTATACTGACTTGCAGAAAGGCAACTTCAGTCAACTCGTAGCTGTCAGATATTACAATATAAGTAACTTAGTGGTGGATTACTACATAAGGGAAAGAAACTGTGTGTGCTGCTGGAAAGTGCTAGTCTTTCAGGACGTGACACTGGTGTTTTATTGATGCCTCTGTGTTGCTCGAAGGGGTCTTTTTGCAGATGAGAGTAAAACGGCTGCTCATCGTTCCGGTTAGCCAGCACTTTTGGAGGAATAAGGCTTATAGTTCTTCTGAGTGGTTACTTTCTTTCTTTATAGCATCGTTGTGCTTTATGTTACCCCTTAGTCTAAACTCGAACATTAAATAGACGTGTACTATTGTTCTGCTCCCATTATCCGTCTCATGGTTGGTTTTATTTCACTGGTGTCTGAAATGATCAATTGGTGTGCAGGTTTTTTTTTATAAGTCAAGGTACAAATAAGGTGTATCGTTAGAAAAGCACTATGGAGGTAGTACAGATTTTATTTGGTAAGTCATTATTAGTACAAAGATTGATCTTGTTTTTCAGAAACAAACTAGAGCATTCTTCTGACAAAAAGGAAAAAATGTCAGGAAATAACTGTATTATTATTTTTTTAAAATGGTTTTAGCCATTTGTAGCTGTTTAATGCTAAGGAAGGGAAAGTGGATAAAAATTCACTAATCCAACAACATAATGAGGTGTACTGCTGATTTGATCAATAATAGCTGGGGGTTTTGTGAGCAATTTTAGGAGACCCAAAGGCCTAATTTCACAGCTAGAATGAGCTGAGAATGCTCAGTATCTCTCTTTTTCTAGGGTGTCAAAGGTGTATGCAAGACACAAGGCTCCATGAATATGAACAAGATAACAGCATAAAATAGGCGAGATAATCTTAAAATACATTATGACTATCAACGTGGACTAAACTTTCCCTTTCTTGGGTGGTTCTGCAGCTGGTTAGAGCCACGTGGAGAAGGGGCTGGAGCAGCGCAGCCTAGGACACCCCACGCTCCTTCCAAGGCCTATAAGGATCTTCTCTAACTAATTGGGAGCTCTTATGGCAGGATATATCATTCAGAGTTATGTGGTATGTAAAGTCTTACTTCGCTTCGTTAAGAGATATCAAGAGGCAAGTGGTAGTAAGGTGAAGGCACGTGCATCTATATAGAAATGCCAGGCAGAGCAGTGAACTGATTAGCCTTCCAAAACTAATTATCTATATGTACTGCAGATTTTCCTCTCCAGTGTTCATGGACAGAACTTCAGTTTTCTTATCTGACAGAGAAATATTTTTTGGCAGACAGTTGCGTAGGCGTTACAGATTTTGACATAAAGCTCATGCTTACCTCTCGCTTTTCGTGTGTCTGATGGAAAGTAATGATGAAAAAGGTTTAGGTTTAAATCACTGCACAAATAATACAACAAATTAATATTTGACATTTATTAGGATATGGCCATCGGCCTGATTCTGCGCCCTATGCATCTGTACCAGCCGTTCAGTGTTTCTGGGAGCAGTCTGGTTAGTGTCCATGGGTGGATTTGCTCAGAAAGCTGTATCTTGGTCTGAGTAAGGGAGAGGAAGTATTTGTGTGTCTGTGTGTACGTGCAAATCAAATTTACCTTTGTGCAATACCTCCTTACTTGTTAAGCAGAGGTACCACTGACTTCTTATGGGATACTCTGCAAGACGTACAGATATCCTTGGTTTATATTTTATGCTAATGCAAAACAATCCTACTCAAACATCGCAAAGAAAAAATGATATTTTCCAAACATAAATGCCATTTTAAAACTCAATTATTGACACAAGTCCAGATCTTTAAGGATGTTGAGGCTACAGCTACAAAAGTGCGTTTTCACACGTGAATAGACTCCAGAAGTCAAATAAAAAAAGGTCGTGATCTTATGTTAACCTTCTTTGGTAAACTGTCGTTTCTTATTTATATTATTGTGGTCTCATCTGTCAAGGCAACTGAGGGAAGTTAGAGACAAAGAAGTCCTATGATTAGCTGTTGATGAAAAGAAGCTTTTATTTGACTGATTAGAGTAATATTGCAATCACCACAACCCCATCTCTGGGCATCCCTGGGGGTTTTGGTCAAACCTTGGAGCCCTGGCAGGTCTCTTGACCTTTGCCAGAGGGTCTTTCGGAGTGGCCACATCCAGAGCCAGTGTGTGACTTTGCAAGACCACCGCTGTTTACCCCGGTAATGTAAGAGTCACTGGTGTCACTGGTTTAGCCTGATCCCAGGTCGCATGGGAACTCTCCAAACACTGTTGCCACAGAAGAGTTAATAGCTGGACTAAAAGAAATACTGAAGGATATGTCTAAGAGAAAGAAAATGTTTATTAAAATGACCTCAGCATTTATTTAGTCTGTAAGGTTTGAGGTGTCGATCGTAACTTATTCTTGTCATATTCTGTTTTTGTCAAAGAGAATAAACATGCTAATTCTGCATTTGGACCGTTTTTCTTGCCCAACAAATCAATGCACCAGGCTTCTGCCATGTCCTTTGAAAAAAACCTGAAGAACATGAATACTGTTTACCTCTAGGGAAATGCCAAGGAGCTTTGTAATTTATTTATTAATTTTTTAATAGAAGAGGAGAAGTTAGTCTACTGGGGGGATTCAGGATGCTTTTGCATTTTCTTATCTCAGAAGATTGGATTTAACTCATAATGCTCTGGCATGCCATGACACAGTGTTAGTTATTTTCAAGAACACTTCAATGGAAGGAGAATAAGGAAAATAAATTGTATTTTACAAAAGGAAAAATACACCAGTTTTGATTACAGTTGCAACAAGTACCACTCTGCATGAACTCAAATGTTGGAGCAATTGCGTGAAGGCACTCCTAGATTGGGTGAAGCCACCCAGCCTTATTCATCTTTCTCTATTTCAAGACCTTGCCTTGAGATATGGAAATAAAACCAGATACAGGACTTGTATCACAATTATGTAATTATTTGTAACTGAATTACTGTGCCCACTTAGTGTCCACTTCAGAGAATTAGGAAAACGGACAACTCCATCGTGTGACTTTAATAGACTCTCAGTGAGCAATCTTCATAACTAAGATATTTTAATGTAATTGTTTTATACAGTAATGCAAAAAGGAAGAGAAAAAGAATAAGCGAAAGAAAAAGAATTGTGAGAGAAAAGAGAACAAAGCATAATTTCTGGTATTTCCAACACTGTTGTTAGGTGCTCTCGGGTATCCTGGGACTCTGATGTGGGTTCTTATACAGCTGAGTCAGAAAACTCCCAAGTTTTAAGT